CTGTGTATATTTATTGTGGTTTTTATTATCGCCTGTTCACCGCCCTGAGTCCCGTAAGGGAGATAGGGCGGTATATAAATTCAATAAATAAATAAATAAATAAAAAGAAAGAGGCAAAAGAAACTTTCATTTCTCAAAGCGGCTTGCCAATATGCTCTCATCACTCTATTTACATTTAAGTAAACTTTTGTCTTATTCTTAACTTGCAGTTTTTTCTGAATTTCAAAACTAGGGAGCAAAAACTACAAGAAGTATACAGGTATATATCTTAAAGGAGCCAATATATCTACTGAGCTCCTTCTCATAGACAATATCCATGAAATCCAACTGACTTGTGAAAGCAAAAAAACAACAACATAGTAGCAAGCACTCAGAAGCAAAACAAACTGGCTACAGAACCTTCCATTTTCAATTTTGGCCTCTAATGAGAAAGGATCTCATGCAGCAATGCTAGAAAAAAAAATTCTGGGTAGCCTTCCTAAAAGGCCCGCCAATCTTGGCACTAACAATGGCCTATCTTACGTCTTGGTGTCTTTTGCCTCCTTCTGCATGATTTCCAAGATCATCTTGCAAGCAGCAGAACAGCCTTCTGGAGTTGAATGGATGCTTATTGCTTTCTCTGCCGCCCCCGCATTTTCCTTCCGATGCACATCAATTCTAGGGTGGATTCAAAGAAAAGCAAGAAATCACTCAATTTGAACACATAAATAATGATATACATCCAAGGAATCAGAAACTGATTTAAGTTGCTTCAAAATCTTGTAATCCTTATCTTTACAAAATATCTCCAATGCCTCATTTCTCATTTATTCCCAATTTGGGTGCATATGTATTTTAATTTTATTCACTTCCTCTAGATCAGGGGTCTTCAAACTTGGTCCTTTTATGACTTGTGGACTTCAACTCCCAGAATTCCTCAGCCAGGCCAAGTTTGAAGACCCCTGCTCTAGATAGCCTAATATAGGCCACTGAGTAATCTACAAATTAATGAAAGCATTTTATTAGAAAGGTAAAACAGTATACGACAAGAATAAAAAACAGCAGTCACAGTTATTATAATAGTAAAATAACATGAAAATCAAAGTAATAGAATTTGAAAATGCCTGATTCTGTGACAGAAATATAAATGTAGGTGCTAGAAGAACATACACTAGAAGAACATACACTAGGAGGCAACTTGGCTGACTTAGTCTCTACGGGCAGAGGACGAAGCTAACCCATTGGTGGATTCTCCACTCGTCATGCTGGAGAATCTCTGTTACAGCAAGACTTTTTCAGCATAGTGGCCATCTTTGGATGCAGTGCTGAACATATACATGAAGAACATTGAGGCATATGGGCTCGTTTATCAACATAGCTGTGGCAACATTATAAGCTCCCTCTTCAAATTATCCATAGTTTAATATATCATCCAAATGTGCTCAACTGCCTTTTTAAAAAAAAAAATTAGCAACAGAAATGCTGAAAATCAAATAACTCCCAATTCATTCTCATAGGAAAGAGAACAAAGAACGAAACTTGAAATCAGAGTAACACAAAACAACAATCTGATGCCCTGCAGATCTTTTGGAACTCCAAACTATAAAATGTTCACCAGAGTTGGAGGACACAGACACTGGATTTGAGTTTGGATTATGGCTGTGTAATGCTTGCTTCAAATTTTTGTTGAATTACTATGGTCACTATGCATCCCAGCAATATTATATAGTGTGGGGATACTACAGAAAAAGGGAGAGGCAGCAATATATATTCCTTGAAAGAAGAGCAGGGGAAATACAATTTTTTCTGTTAAAGAATAGTGTCCAAAATTCAGGTTCTTGCTTATTTATATCTGAATTGAGTTGTTGAGGATGCATTTATTTTCTCTTTGTTTCCTAGCTGCTTTTCTGTAATTTTAATTAAGGTTGGCCTCTTTCACATTGGCCTCATCTTGACCTTGGAAAGGAATTTTTTTGTTTTCTGAAGACTTTTCACTTTCCTTTTCGGTTCCCAATTTCGAACAATGAACCAAGATAGGAAACCCATTTCAATCCAAATTTCAAACTGATTCTGGGCAATCTCATAAATTAGATACCATGTATAGATGTGGCATAAGCCAAAATGTAATTTTCTAGTTTGAATTTGCTTTATGCCCTGTATGGAATTTAGCAACAAGTGAAAAAGCAGCTAAAGTGCTCCTAACAAAACAATATCTTACTTGGACTGTGTCTGTTTGGTTATGTTGCGGATGGTGGCACCTTCTTTACCAATAATGGCTCCCACATACTGGGTAGGAACAAGAAGCCGAAGGGGGATATCTACTGGTTGCTGTTTCACAGGAGCTCCTGAAGCCACAGGAGAACCTTGCCGTGGGGCACCCCGTGTTCCAAAACCACCTCGACGTCCATTCTCTGCACCCTGCACAGTCTGTTCATCAGGTATGTAAGAGACCTTCAATGCATGGTTTTCCAGTTGATGTCCATTAAGTTTCATGATAGCTCTGGATAAGAAAGAGAGATAAAATGGAAGGAGAACTAATCTGTTTACAGGGCAGGTTACGCTGGCTAAGGAGAAATTTTAAAGGGGCAGGTTACCATCAGCCCTGGGCTAGCGATTTTATTATTAAATATCTTAGTTGTATCTTATATATCAGTCCTGCAGCCTCCTTTAGGAATCCAACACTTATGTAGACTAAAGAACACCATCCATACCCAAATCCAACCCAGCAATCTAGAAGCCATGCCAAAGTTTGCAAAAGGAGTCAAAGAATCTTTAGAAAAAATATCCTAAAAGGATTTTTTCACCATTCTCACTGAATAGCATGAGTTCAGATGTGAAAAAATAGAAGCTTGCAAAATTTAGCAATTTCTCTTATTTGAAAAGTTATGGGCATTTTGCTGCCAACCTTGGATATACGTTATGGGGAATTAAGTAAGTTTAGACTTACATCGAAATCAATCATATACAAAGAAGAAGAATAAAAAGCCAACAAAGCTGTTTAAAATCATAGTATAGTAGGTGAACTAAGCCTTTTCTAAACTGATAAACTGAAAACCACCTTCCCATCTCACAATCAATGCTGCTTCATCTTTTCCAATGCAATCTCCCCCCTTATTTTGCCAAAAGGAAAGGAAAATGTAACACATGGAAAAAATAGTTCATTATTAATTCCTTCAATAATAATAATAATAATAATAATAATAATAATAATAATAATAATAATTATTATTATTATTATTATTATTATTATTATTTTTCATCACATAATCAGTCAGATGCTTAGACTGGATTGGGTATTTTTATCCATCCATTGAGTCTTTCCCAAGGATCTGGGATAGAATGTTGTTTGGTGATGATAAAGATATTTGTCAAAGAATGTAAAACTGCCTTTTTCAATTGACTGATAGCGTTTTTGTCAATGCCAGTGGTGTTCAAGTGGTGCTTTAGATGTTTTGAGATTGCATCCAGGCACCTATCATTTCTGGCACTATCTTTGCTTTGCCAGTCATACTACTTCTGCTTGCAGGTCTTGGTATTTTGTGATTTTCTCCAATTCTTTCTTTTCTATTCTGCTGTTTCCACATTATTATTGTTGTTGTTGTTATGATTATTATTCGCACAGTCAGCCAGATGTTTAGACTGGGTTTGGCATTTTTGTCTACCTATCAAGTCCTTACCAAGGACCTGGGGTAAGCAAAGGTGGATATTTGTCATGTTACAGATATCATCTCAAGATGGAAGCTGTTCCCAGTAAGGCCACCTGTTGCAATTGAAAGATGGCAAATTTGTCAATGCCAAGGATGTTCAAGTGGTGCTCCAGTTGTTTTGGGATTGCACCTACTACTACTACTACTACTACTGTTGTTGTTGTTGTTATTTCTATGTCATCTATGTCTGGGTGATTAAAAAACTTCTATATAACAGCACTTTTAAGGTTTCTTCATACACTTTTTCTGTTAATTCTATTCTTAATATATCACATTATTTTAAATGTATGTGACTAACACATTTGGAAAACTAAAAATCATTCAGGGGACCAAAGGGAACAAAATGCCTTTCTCCAAGTGGACCTAAACAAAGCAGGCATACTCTGGAAACCTCTTTCTCTGCCATGTCCTGAAATCATTACTTTCATATTGAATCCAGCCATAACCGAGGCAGCCTTACCATCCTTAGCTGTTTTGATGCCTTAAGCAGACAACACAGCCAATCTTACCTTGACCACTTTATATTGGTACAAACATGCTCTATATTTCCTGTGACTCTAGTCATTTTGGTTTGGACAGGGTGAGTGTATGACTTTTTGAAATATTATTTTAAAGATCCCTTTGAAATATTCCTTCTGAGCTCCTCTGTTAACCTGCTAGGTCTCTATGTGAATCTCCAAATAGAATCAAACCAACAGGGCTAGTAAGAGAGAGGCTGTGTGTGTGTGTGTAAGAGAGAGAGGAGGCGGAGGGGGGAGAGACATGGGAGAGAAAAGAACTGGCTTGTCTTCTGCTGCTTCATGGCAGATCCCTCATTAGGACCCATTTGTTGTTATTCAATTAACACAGACTTTCAAGAAAAATATTAAACCTGTGTTCAAAAGGAGACTTATTAATAGTTGACAAACACTGTGGGTGGGTGGCAGTAGAGCAGGGCTTTCTCCCGTCACAAGGAGCACTGAGTAATGACAGATGGCTAAGCTTATCCTGACTGGGGCACAGGGAAGCATATGTATAATTCTTTAAACTCACCTCCCTTTGCAGCAGACTATGGGGAGAAGGAAATTATGATGCAATTTTAAAGACAGAGGGCAAAGTATAATTGCATTTATAACTTTGTAAGATCAGAAGCTGCTTTTCTATTTCCTTATTATTTTCTGTCTGATCTCATCACTATTTTTACTTTACTTCTTTTCTAAAATATGTATTTTTTATCATGTTAAAATTTCTTTAGTTAGAAAGTATACATACATACATACATACATACATACATACATACATACATACATACATACATATATATATATATATAAACGTGTCTCCTTCTGTCTGAACCTGCCTAGAAGGGCAGCCTTTGCTGCATAGAAAATGAGGGTACTGACACCCCCCCTCCCCCCAGCTGCAAGCTAGAACAGAGGCAATTGCGACTGGGAATTAGGGCAGCAAAAACTATGCTGGATTAATTTTCTGATGGGTCCCAAACTGTAGGAAGAGCACCTTAAATGGAGAACAACTCAAAGACATCAAGGATTGTATATGGCTTTGATAATGGCCTGCAGTTCATAAAGCTAACCATAGATGGGGTGTTAACATTAACTATAACCCAGCATGAAACAATCTGATATGCAACCAAGCATCCCATGTACATTTGCCACTCTGTTAAAATCTTGTCATCTGAAACCTAGGTTTAAAATTCTCCTGCAAGTTCCATGAATTCTACACATTGCCTCCACATAGTGGAGCAGTAAGAAAGGACAGCAAATAATTCTATACAGGAAACATTTACTTTTAGATGGCTAAGTAAGATTTAATACATCACAGAATTTGCCAGAGATCATATCTGAACTGTTTTGTTGTTTGATGAAAGAAATATCCATTAATTAATCATAAAAGCAATATTCAATTAAAGCAGCATTCCTACATGCACTTACTAGAGAACAAGTTTTCTCTAACTATTTGAAGTACCTTTTTCTGCAAGAACTCCTGGACTGCTCCACAAAGAAGATAGTGATGGTGAGGATGATATGTGACAAGGCTTTAATCTAGGATTGTTAAGAACTTCCTCCTCTTCCAATTGAGAATGGAACAATATATCCAGACAAAAATAAGTGATATCTAACAATATATACCTTGATTGCAAGCCTCTATTTGTTCTCCTTTAAAAAAAAATTCTCTTAGAATATTTCAGCCCCAGAAAGAGACATATGTAATTAAGAGAATCCTTCCCTGATCATGTCCAAGATTTCAGAGAAGCACTGATTAAGGATATCTTACATACAAGTGATAAACTATAATTAGGTGAGACACAGATTCTTTGATAAATAAATCATAAACATGTTGCAGATCTAACAACCTGTCAGAAGCAGCTAATATAAATACCTTTCTGCTAGCTTTGAGTTCAGTATTCTGTGCAGGGTTATATACGCACACAAAAATACCAAACCAGAAACACTTATAACTAATAAAACTTTAAACTTACTGTCTGGTCTGTTCCCGGTTAGAATAGGTGACATTAACAACTGCTGTCTCGCTATCCGTATTCACTTGCAAATAAAAAAGAAAGAAAGAAAAATGTATCTAGTTTAGTTAAAATACACTTTATGGTTTAAATAGCTTAGCTATTTAAGTAGCTAAATCTTCACTTTTCCAAGAATACTAAAAACATGTAATATGACTTGTTTATTTTTGGATTAGTGGGATGTGTGTACCTCTCACTCACTATAGCTTAAGTATATGAGAAAAATAGGCTATTACATTATTTATCTCATCATTATTTAGAAATCCTTATTTTAGCTTTACATTTTAATCCGGGTACTGATTCATGGTCAATTTTTTTAAGATTTAAACACAATTAAACTATACTCCATCTTTTCATCTCAAGGAATTAAAGATCTCATGAATGCTTCCTTCATATGCAGCAGTAAAGAGTTCGACTTCCCCATCATTACTTGAGTTCCTGAGTATGGGAAAACAATACATGGTGGGGGAAGCCATGTTCTGGCAATATGCTGATCCCACATAGAGATGCTTCGCAACTTAATTTCGAGAACTCCAGTACAAGCTGACCACATCCTTACCTTCTATGCTAATGTGCAAATTGGATCTAACTTTTGCCCGATGATTTTTGTTCTTTTAGAATGTCCAAGCATTGTTCTCGATTCCAAAACTATATTAAATGTATCTTAAGATATATTAAATACATGTAACGAATGTATTTGCTTAGACAAAAATAAACACATTTTATTTTTAAAAAATACTAACAGCAGCTGAGAAAATGAGATGGAACACGCTGTTAGCAAACATGCAGGATTAGATGAATCAGAATCGACTAACAACACAAAGATATTTCCTCACAAGTATCTCTCCATGAGTTCATTGAAGCTATTTTGGAGTAAACAAATTTAGGATTAAGCTAGCTGTTCCTCCTTCAATCTGTGGCACTAAGATAGACGCAGATATACAGGCATTCCTCAATTTACGACTGCAACAGAGCTTGTCAATTATGATCATATGTCATGACAGGCATAAAGTGTGTCATCACATGACTGATCTAATTTTATAACCTTTTTTTTTTTGCAGTGGTCATTAGGCAAACCCATTTTTTGCTATGGAGTATTTCTGCCAAAAATTAGAAGTACATGCCTGCTTTCAGCAAAAAGATAATAAATTGTGGTTATGTGATCATAAATGTGGGCTGGGTGCTGCTTGCCCAAAATACTGTCATGTTACTGTTAGAGGGGCGGGGTCTGGCTGTTCAGAATTGGATCATAAGTACCTTTATTTTTGGAGTGGGGGGGATGTTCCATCCTAAGTTAAGGACTACCTCTATTTCCCAAACCTTCTCATGAAAACTTACCTTGTTCACAGTTTTCCACAGTACCATATTGAGCCAGCAAACCATCCAAGACCTATTCAGATAAAAAACAAACCTACTCAGTTAAAAACATACAGAGACACAGATACATAGACATGGACATAGAAAAGAGGGAGGAATTAAGTCATGCTTAAAATTATACAAAGCAACACAAACCTGAAGAGGTAACGTGTTTCCCAGAAAATAAGACCTAGCTTGATTTTGGGGGTTGGGCCTAATATAAATCCTACCCCAAAAGTCATAGCATTGTGGTTACCCGAAGGGTAGGGGTGATGTGTGTGGCCAGCTTGAGGTCTCTCGCATGGAACATGAGGGAGCCCAGGAGGGGATGGGGGGAGCTGGGGGGGAGGGACAGGAACTACGGAGTTTTGCATGGTACAAATGAGGTAGAAGATATTATTACTGCATCAAAGCCATTTAGTCCGAGGTGACCAGTGAATGTGGTTTCACCTTTTACACAGTCCCTTGACTAGAAAGGGTCTAATTCAGGGATTGTTCCCCTTTTCCTTCAACACGGCCCAAGCTCCCCGCGCTTCTTTCCAATTCTGCCTCAAAGCCTCCACGATTCAGTTCTCTCCCCGGCTTCCCAGCATGCAGTCCTAACCCCAGCCCCCTTCCTTCAACTACCACCTCCTCATTTACCTATTTCCACCCACGAGGGGCAGGCTTTCTTTCTCCTTGCTTGTTCTTCTCGGGAACTGTTTTCTAGCATGGCTTTGAGGCAGCAGCTGGGTGAGTTTCAACTGCCAGGTGTGGCATCTCGATGCTGTGAGTGGTGCGCTGCAAAAGTTTTGCTCGTTTACTTTCTCAGCACCAGAACATGGGCCATTTTGAAAGGAGAGGGGAGCACCGCCCATTGGTTTTGGCTTATTGGAGGGCTCTGCCCGGTTTAGCAATTGGCTTACGGGAGGGTTCCTCTTCAGGCTGGTGTATGCTGGGTGCTGAAGTTCTGTCCAAGTGAGGTTCAGCAGGTGGAGCCACGCTGTGGCCCCGGACTCCCAGGAGGAGTCAGGCTTGCTCCATGGCAGCAGCAGTGGCGGCGGCAGCCTGCCAAATCTGCACTGTCCGCAGCACTCGCTGGCGGTGTGAGCTGGGTCAGAGGTTGGATCGGATCTCTCTCACAGGCACACACACAGAGGTTGGATCGGATTGCTCTCCCTCCCTCCCTCCCTCCCTCCCTCTCTCTAACACTAACACACACACACACACACACACACACACACACACACACACACATTGGATTGGATCTTGGCCTGCTAAACCTCCCTTCACTAAATCAGACAGAACTTCAGCACCCAGCATTCACCAGCCTGAAGAGGAGCCCTCCCGTAAGCCAATTGCCAAACCGGGCAGAGCCCTCCAATAAGCCAAAGGGCGGTGCTCCCCTCTCCTTTCAGAATGGGGTGTGTTCTGGTGCTGAGAAAGTAAATGAGGAAAACTTTTGCAGTGCAGCAAATCGACAGTATTGAGATGCCACACCTGGCAATTGAAGCTCACCCAGCTTCTGCCTCAAAGCCATGCAAAAAAACAGAGGAAAAACAAAAGAAAACGGAGAAAAACAAACAAGAAAGAAAGCCTGATCCTCGTGGGTGGAAATAGGTAGATGAGGAGGAGGTAGCTGAAGGAAGGGGGCCGGGTTAGGACTGCATGCTGGGAAGGTGGGGAGAGAACTGAATCACGGAGGCTTTGAGGCAGAATTAGAAAGAAGCGCGGGGAGCTTGGGCCGTGCTAAAGGAAAAGGGGAGTGATCCCTGAATTAGGCCCTTTCTATAGTCAAGGGATAGCGTAAAAGCTGAAACCACATTCACTGGTCACCTCGGACTAAATGGCTTTGGTGCGATAAAAGTATCTTCTACCTCGCTTGTACCTTGCAAAACTCTGTATTCCTGTGATGGGCCCCGCCTTCCAACCTGGTCCTCCAGCAGGTCTGCTGCCCCACCTGCAATGGCCCTACCTCCTCCCTTCCGCGCCTCTGCCTGCAAAATAAGACACACACCCCCAAAATAAGCCCTAATGAGTCTTTTGGACCAAAAATAAATTTAAGACCCGGGCTTATTTTGGGGGAAACACGGTATTTTTTACTTTCCCCCCAAAATGTATAACAAAGAACAAAAACTAGAGACAGCCAAGGGTTTCAACTGGCAATGCAAATCCAAATAATGTCACTATACATTATTATAGACCTTTCTGCACTTGCCTTTACCTGAGCCAACAAACAAATCCAAAATGTCTTCTTCTATAACATTTGGACAGGTGAACACACTTTAATATTGAAACAGTTTGGATTATAAGTGATAAACGTGATAAACACTCAGTTCATTGCAGCAACTGATTCCCACTTTAGATCCCATTTTATTTTAAGTTTGTTGTGATGAAGAAAAAAGGCAAAGTTCACACTGAAATTACTAAAATGTTTCTGCAATTAACTATTCTTAGTGGGAATCTGGAAAGGGAGTCTAGGTTGATTTCTATCACAATAAATAAATTTCAGATTATGAGGTACTAGTCATTTCTTGTTCTAGGCAACTGTTTCAGGCCCACTCTCTGAAATATCCCAAGCTCTGCTCCCTGCCCCTTGGGTTCCCCAAAGCCTATGGGCCTTCTCTGTATGGCATCCTGTCACTATAGTACTGTAGTATCTCTGTAATCTGTCATAAGGGCAAATGACCATGGGGGCACCGCAGGGGTTATAACTTTGAAACGGATTCATATGTAGCTTTTGGACTGTGCATTATAACTTCGAACATTCATTAAATGGCCTGTTATATCTCAAGGACTACCTGTATTCTATCTTGGTTTTTACAAGGCTAAACAAAGATAAGTAACTTCATAATTTCAAAAACTGGACACTAAAGGGGAACTTAGTTTTTAGGAAAGATTTGTTTTAACCATTCAGTCATGTCCAACTCTTGGTGACTTTATAGACAAGTGCTCTTCAAGCTATCCTGTCAAGCACCGCTTCTTTCAGTTGTTGGATGTCCATCTTTGTATCAGCTTTGATATTATCAATGTTAGCATCATTAACTTCTCCAATGATTTTGCATACATGATGTGATCTTGTTATTTTGGCTTCCAGGGATGTATCTAGTTGTATATGCTTCAGCACCACTCTGTTGGTTGTTCTGGCTAAATCCATGGTATATGCAATAATTTATGTCAGCATCAAGTTCAAAGGTGTCACTACTTCTTCGGATCAGCCATTCTTCGTGTCTAACTCTCACATCTATACCTGATTACAGGGAAGACTATTGCTCTAACTAGGCTGCTTTTATATTTATATCAATATATCTCTGCTCTTCCAGATCTTATTCATGTTAACTATTGCAGTGCAGCCTAAGGTTATCCTGTGTTTGATTTCAGGAATAGAATTGCCATCATGAACAATTTTTGATCAAGGAAGATAAATTCTCGAACTAAATTGCTTCCTCGTTGATTTTAAATATCTCATGTCATCTGCAGTTGTGGTCATTATCTTTGTTTAACTGAAGTTAAGACTCAATCCTACTTTTTCACTTTCATCCTTGATTTTCCAGATCATTGTTTCTGGATCTTATTTAGTTTCAGCCAATAATATTGTATCATCTGTGTATCTCAAATTATTTATGGTTCTTCCCCCAAACTTCACTCCAACATGAGACAGTTCCAGATCTCATTTACAGATGATCACTTCAGCATACAAATTAAACAAAAATGGGGATAAACTGCATCCCTGTCTAACTCCCTTACTGATCCTAAAGTTAATCTGTGTCACCATAGAATATTCTCACTATTGCCTTTTGATCATCTGATAGGTCTGATCAGGTGGATTGGGACACCAAGATCATGCAAAGCCGGCCATAGCTTATTGTGTTCTACACAGTTAAAAGCTTTTCTGTAATTGATAAAATACATATATAGATCCTTTTGATATTCATGTGCCTTTTCCATGATCCATCTAATATTGGCAATGTGATCTCGAGTAACACCCCCCTTTCTAAAGCCAATTTATACATCAGATAACTCTTGATCAATGACATTCTGTAACCCCTGTTTAATGATCTTGGGATAGGGAACAATGGTGCATCCTTATACAATAGAAAACAAGGAATAGCTATCAACTAGGAATTATTATTAGATTTATATTCTGCTTTTATTTTGAACAACTCAATATAACTGGAAAATCTGGTTAAAACTAGTCATATTTTTTCTTGTTCTCTCCTAGTAGATGTCGCAGCAGGAGAACAGATGGGAAACAGAGGGAGGAGATTTTCTTATATTTTGTCAGAGACACATATCTCAAAAGATACCAAAACTCTTTGAATTACAACAAAAACCATTCCTGGCTGGGTGTTAAGACCACATTCTCTTTCATATCATCAGACTTACCTCCCACCGAAGCTGAGGTGGGATATTTCTTATCTGAATTTTGCGGCTCCTAATTGGAAAAGAAGAGGAAGAAAATTATTTAAATTAACAGCATGTTAATTTAATTTAAAACTATCATTTACATACAATAATATAGCTACAGTATACAAGAGCTGCCTTACAAAAGTCCAGGTGATCATTAGGTTTTATTTACTAAACAAATGGAACATCAAGATACTAAAAGTACAAAATAAACCAGAAAAGAGAATCAAAGGAAAAGATAAACTCTCATTAATATGTGTACTCTTCTCAATTATATGTGTGTTAAGTATATTAAATATATTAGATCTAGATATAAAATTAAACACATACATATACAAATATAGGTAATCTTCGATTTACAATCATTTGTTTAGCAACCATTTGAAGTTAACTGGCATTGAAAAAAGTGAGGTACAACATATCCTTGTACTTACATTCACTGCAGCATCCCCATAGGCATGTGATCAAAATTCAGGTGTTTGGCAACTGGCATGTATTTACAATGGGTTGCAGCCTCCTGGGGATCATGTGATTTTAAAAAAATATATTTTTGACTTCTCAAGCTAGTTTCCGACTAGCAAAGTCAATAGAGAAAGCTGGTTTTAACAACCATGTGATTCACTTAAAAACTGCAGTGATTCATTTAACATGAAGCTCGTAAAATCAGATATGACTCGTTTTAACAACCACCTTGCTTGGCAAAGGAAATTCTGATCCCAGTTGTGGTTATATGTGAAGGATTACTTGTACATATACATTCTCTACAGAAGACTTCTAGATATCAGCAAAGAACATAGAAAATTCTAACCATCTGCTGCCATCTAACAGTTGTCTGGATGTCTGCAATCCAACTATGGTAGCTCAGTAAAAGAAGTTTATTTACAAGTAGCACAAATGTTTCATACTGAAGATAGTAAATAAGTTTATATACAAATGGAGAATGCATTAGATAGAACTTCTCATATAGGGTATTATCTCAGAGTTATAATTGCCCTTGACAAAAACTGTGAGAAAGCAGCTTTCTCTACACTGCAAGTTCTTCTAGATAAAAAATAGCAAATCATTTGGGTGATCATTTAAGGGACAAATAGTTTATACTGATACAAAAGAGGAAATATGTTATGATAGCTTATAAATGGACTTTATTGAATTAAATTAAGCATTTAATATTTTGGTAAAGATGTTTTTTGAGCTCTTTCCTATAAAACTTTGTAAAAGTTCCTTTTTGCCACATCTAACAAACTGAGTCTCACTGTTCTTTTCTGTTGATACACATGGATCTAAACTTAATAGCTACCCAAGTTATTCTATTTATTTATTCAACAAATTTATATATCTGCCCATTTCACAAATGTGACTTTGGGAGGACATAGAGCAAAACCAGTTAAAAACAAATATGAACTATTTAAAAACTATTAATCTATATAAATAAAAATGTAAATGTTCGTTTGTTCAAAATTTTAAATCTCTGAAAGTTCTTCACCGATTGCTTTGAAATTTTGACACAACGTTGCATTCGAATATGCACGTGTTTTTATATACCTATATTATATAAATGTCACACCTGTGACAGGTAAAAACATGCTTTTTTGAAAAACAGCGCCATCTGTTGGACGTAAAAGCAACACACGCTTTTACCAGACTGAGCCACAACAACACGTGACCGGGTACAGCTAGTCATAAATAAAAAGAATACTGTGGAAGAATGGACATCATCCTAAACATAATGCAACCATCCAGCAGGCTTCCCTGTTCCCATGGTATCCCCAAAGTTTTCTTTTTCTACAATACATCTTTCTCCAAAATCCATCAGCAACCCTATTCTAACCATCATATTATCTTAAAAAATAGGGTCCCTCAAGGAATTGCAGAGCCAAGAAATAAAAGAGTATAAAGTAATAAAATGAAAAACTCTGCATTTCAATTTCCTCTCTCCTATTTCCTGCTTGCCGTATCCAATTTTCTATCATTCATTTTCTTCTCCTTGGCAAGATGATAGCACCTCTTTCTTCAGTACCAAGATTGAACATAAAGAAAAACTGGATTGGAAGGCGAGTTAAGAGGCAAGAAGGATTAATACACTCAAAAATTGAAGATAATCTGTAAGAGACTGATCTCCAATTTCCTAAGAACCAGTTTGGTCTAGTGCTGTGGTGGCAAACCTATGGCACACATGCCACTGGTGGCACGCAGAGCTCTCTGTGGGCACACGTGCCATCGACCCAGTCCTAGGCCTGTAGCTGGGTTTTATAAAACCTTTTCGCTTTAGGCCTCCACCGCTGTGTGGAAAAAAAAAAGGTTCAATCAATCAATCAATTTCAACTTCTCGCGGGAAAAAAAATCTTGCAAAGTTGGAATTGGTTGATTGAACTTTTTAGTCCCACCCAGTCTGCCATTACCACTGCAGCCACACCTACCCAATTGACCATGCCCACCCAATTGGCCACACCCATCCAATGGGCCACGCCCACCCACGATACATGAGTGGGTTTTGGGTTGCAGTTTGGGCACTCAGTCTCTAAAAGGTTCGCCATCGCTGATCTAGTGGTTAAGGTGCTAGCTAGAAACCCAGCGACTGTGAGTTCTAGTTCTGCTTAGGTATGAAAACCTGGGTGATTTGGGGCACTTTCTCGCTCTCAGCGGAAATCACCTCACAGGGTTGTTGTTATGGGGAAAATAGGAGGAGGAAGGAGTACTGCATGTGTTCACTGCTCCGAGTTATTTTTAAAAATAATAAAGACAGGAAATCAACCAGCCAACAAACTTTCCATATCATTTAATACAATTATCAAGACAAGTAGGTAAGAAAGAAAACAGAAATCCTTTCCGTTCTTTTTCTGAATCATAATATCTCTCTTATTGTCAAAACAAAAACCAATCTGCATGCAGATTGTATTTGCAGTGCCTATTTGCATGACAGTCCTAAGGACATGCTACACCTAGCAGGGAGCAAAAGGTTATGTCCTTTTTTTAATATTCAGTATAGATGTTCATCTATGGCGGGGGAATCTTTTTTCAAATCATATTTTGAGGGATAGAAAAGCTTCTTTCTTCTCTTACTGATGCAATCGGAACTTTAACGCATCACACAAACGAAACAATTTCTACAAGTGCCCAAACAGCGCAGAAGGTTTTTAATTCCAATCAAATTGGGGAGGAAAAATTTATGCCTCCCCATCTCATGTGCTACATTTGTAATAACAATCCAGGCAACAAAGGGACAAACTGCAAATTAAGCATCATGTACTACCGACTATGATTAAGGATGCCCATATATTCAGCATGTACAAGTTATTCTAAGTCTCTATTAACTAGAAGTAGCCATGTGACCTGGTCCTAGATAGTGCTTGGATTTAGCTGTTTTCATTCAGGCCATTTATATTTTGTTTTTGCCTATTCTCAATTGCAATGCAGTGCATTGTGCCAGAAAGCACATGAGTCAGGACAGAAAAGTACAAGAGAAACAGCAGCAGTAACTGACTGGAAGAGTGGACATATGAACAAGTAGGCAGATGCTCCCCTGATGTTTCAGGAGGATAAATTCATGCATAAGCAAACAATGAGCATTTAAGGCTTCAGAACACGAGTGCCAGCAACCAATCACCATCAAGGATCATCCTAAACTAATTATCATTTATATAATAAGACAGGCAAAAAGTAGTTGGCATAGTAATAAGGTATTTTTATTTGGAAATTGTATGTGTGTGTGTGTGTTGAGAAAAATAGTCGAACACCGGGATAAATATAAAAACAACTGTTTAATAAACTAACAACTGTTTGATAAACTTAGCTTTCGTCGGCTAACTGCCGATGTTGTCAGAGTGGAATGCCAGAGGTTCGAAAGCCTGCTTATAAGACCGGCAGTTTATGTGCTCATAGAATGTGTTACCGGTCTACCCGCCCCAGTTGACCGTATTGCTTCTAATAGTCTCACATCCATCTGTATACTCGTACGCTCGGGGATCATCGCCTCTCTTGTTGTCATTCTCTTTGCCCGCTTTGGACGTATCTGAGTACACATTGCTGTAGGATGGTCCCCCAGTGCTTCCTGTCCTATGCCCCCCCCATTGTGAGTGTGGCATCTCGCCTCCCCATCAACATGAATATACCCGGGATTTGCATTTTTAGTATAATTAGAGACAAAATTGATAATTAGATAGATAGATAGATAGATAGATAGATAGATAGATAGATAGATAGACAGACAGACAGACAGACACACACACACACACAATTGCTGGTAAAAATACATTGAAATATGTTCAAAATTGGAAGATGACAATATTCTATTGCCCAAACCACAGCTTTTTATCAGAGATATTTATTTGTTTCTATTATTGATTTTCGGTTTGATTGTGATTTTATTATTGTCCTGTGAAATGCCCTGGAATTTTTTAAAACAGAAAATAAGGCAGATTATTCAATTTTCATAATATGCAAAATAGGCCAGTCAAATTTGTGGATATGAACAATGGCAGTTCTGTCTTTGACCACCATATGGAGATTCATGATTTCAGTGTTTGAGGTCTTTTTTAAGTTCCTAGAAATTCACTTCCTAGATAAAAATGGTTCATTTTTAGTCCAACTGAGTAGAATCATGGTAGGGTCTAAGCCAGACATGCATAATGCACTGAGTAAATGGCTCTCCTGGATCCAGGCAACCTATAACAATCCAGGTTTGATATATACCATGAAAGAAACATACAATTTTTTAGTAATGACAACAGTGTAGGCGTATAAAACACATTTCATTTTTGAACCATCTCAAGCACAAAACTTCACAAAACTTCCCACTTTAAATACTAAAATGGTGATCAAAGCACAAAACTGGCATTTCAAATCATGCTATGTGAAATTTCGGTTTTTTAAATTCCCTATTGAACTAATAGCTTTGATTGGCAAGATGTGCTAACAACTCATCAACATACCAGTTCTGGAGACCCAACAGGGGAAAACTGTAACTTGGTGGGTTTGCTGGGATGCTTTCAAGATTTAAGGGGGATCCGAAGACTTGCTTGCAAGAGTACT